CATTTTTATTGTGTAATCCCAATGTTGAGTCTCATTCGATGAGTTGTACTATATCATACCTTGTAATGCATTACAGTTTCAATACAGTTTCATTACAGTAAGTTTCATAGTCAATTACTTTAGCTCCATTCCAATATTCTACTTATGTATGTTATAATGTTCAATTGTTGTGAACTTTGACATTGTATAGAATCAGCTCAAGCTGTATGCCTGCTGTCTCAAGTTTGTATTAGCTGTATGTCGGGACGACATACGTTAGTGTCGCCGAGCTCTCAGTAGTATCAGTTCCCAGTAGTACCAGTTACCAGTAACCAATTACCAGTAGTATGACTACCAACCGTCTGTGTGAATCACTTGTTATTCACTGTTCAGCTGACCTAGCATGTTTTGAATGCCGCTACCCTCCGAGGCACTCAGTGGGCCAGTTCAAGTAGAGGCGTTAGAGAGGCGGTAGGTCAAGCTTGGTGCTCCCCCTATATTCCATCCAATATACTAGAACATCTAACGTGAGTGTTATTACCCAATCCACGTTATCGAACCCCCATATGACAGTGGCCTCAATCACCACCTGGTGAGGTCGTGGCCTCAATCACCACCTGGTGAGGTCGTGGCCTCATCACCACCTGGTGAGGTCGTGGCCTCAATCACCACCTGGTGAGGTCGGGCCTCAATCACCACCTGGTGAGGTCGTGGCCTCAATCACCACCTGGTGAGGTCGTGGCCTCAGTCACCACCTGGTGAGGTCGTGGCCTCAATCACCACCTGGTGAGGTCGTGGCCTCAATCACCACCTGGTGAGGTCGTGGCCTCAATCACCACCTGGTGAGGTCGTGGCCTCAATCAGCACCTGGTGAGGTCGGGCGTCATCACCACCTGGTGAGGTCGTGACCTCAGTCACCACCTGGTGAGGTCGTGGCCTCATCCACCACCTGGTGAGGTCGTGGCCTCAGTCACCACCTGGTGATGGTCGTGGCCTCAGTCACCCACCTGGTGAGGTCGTGGCCTCAGTCACCACCTGGTGAGGTCGTGGCCTCATCAACCACCTGGTGAGGTCGTGGCCTCAGTCACCACCTGGTGAGGTCGTAGCCTCAGTCACCACCTGGTGAGGTCGTGGCCTCAGTCACCACCTGGTGAGGTCGTGGCCTCAGTCACCACCTGGTGAGGTCGTGGCCTCAGTCACCACCTGGTGAGGTCGTGGCCTCAGTCACCACCTGGTGAGGTCGTGGCCTCAGTCACCACCTGGTGAGGTCGTGGCCTCAGTCACCACCTGGTGAGGTCGTGGCCTCAGTCACCACCTGGTGAGGTCGTGGCCTCAGCCACCACCTGGTGAGGTCGTGGCCTCTGGAGAGGTTGTTGTCCCAGTCACTATCATCAATTTATTCAACCCCCTTAATTAATTTTCACACGTGGTATATAAATTATCTTTGTGAAAAGACTTCAGAAATGTAATTATTTATTATTAATTATATATTATTAATTTGAGAGATCTGAACCCCTTTACCTATCTGCAATTTTGAACAATATAAGACTCAAACATAGTAACTATAAACAGTGAAACAATATGAAGTAATCATTAATATTATTGCAAAGACTTGGGAAATGTTAATAGTTTGAAGATTTACGCTTGTCGAGGTTCTTTTGTTAAGTTGGTTCTCATGTGCTTTCTTTTGATATATTGTTTATTCTAAAATAAATTGTATTATTTCATTAGTCTGTGAATGTTTAATATTCAAGAGTTGTAGTTTATTGTAATAAATACTTTTAGTATTAATAAAAGATAATAAATTGGTTTAAGGCATTGTTAAGAATGTTTGAAGTTTGATATAGATGGTGGTCTCTAAACTTAGTTCAATATTAGAAGGGAGGGAGACAGAGACCGAGGCATCGGTCAACAGGGTTTAGTTTTAACGACTTACCGGAAAGCTTTTGTAACTGAACAAATTACAAAAGTAATGAACTATTTATATTTTATATCTAAAGTCATCGTAATTTTCATTGAACTTGATCCTAAGTAGATGGATGGTAAGTTTAACTCGTTTAAAATTTATATACAACTATTGGGCAATCTGGCTGTGTTATACCACTTTAGTTATTGATAATTATAGTTGCTGGAAGTGATATTAAATGACGTGTCGGCCTCTTATGGGTATCGGACGCAAAATAAAGACAACTAAGGTATGTCATGGACTGGTAACAGGTTACTATTTAATATTGGTTCAGGTCAACAGACGAGCAGCCTCTGTTGTGGGCATTATTTTTCAGTCAGCTTATGTTTAGTAGCGGTAAACTTGAGAAGAGGCACCAGCTTTAAACTGAGACAAGCTGAGTATTGGTTGTCCCTGTGTGGCAGTGGCACTGGGCAGAGTGCACTTGAAAGCCAGTATGAGTGTGTTAAGCTGGCATTTACTCATGGTGTGATCTACCATGTGAACGCCCACCTGAAATGACTTGGGGGTCAACAGTAAATCCGGGAAGTACTCTATTTAAATTGTAAGATTTGTAGTATATTTTCATTCATCCTTGAGACATGCGTATGGGATCTATAGAGGTGCGGCCATTTAATATATTAATTTTCTCCTGGAATAGTAAAAAAATATGATAGGCAGAGCAGTAGGTTTCCCAAGGCCTGCGCTTCCCTTTGGACTAGTATCTATCAGAATTGGTACCTTTATTCTATATGTCCTACATTACTCCTATTGATCTTTCCTGCTCTAATCCACGTTCTTGTCTCTTTCTTCGTACTACTACTAAGAGCAGGTGGTGGCAGCTTATATTTACTGAGGTATTTACCCAGCTTTCTCTCTCGTTCCTTCTCCCTTGCTTGTGTTTCTTTACCCCCGACTTTAGCTTGCAGGAGGATAATTGCCATGGCTTTATACAACGTGCTAAACCCAAGGTCGTATTGGTATGTCCACTTCATTTGGTAAGGTCATACCTGGGAGGTTGTCGCCCCAGTCCCACTTGGTGAGGCCCAGTTTTCCCAATTCAGTCATGCTCTTTCGAAGGCTGCAATAGCCTTGTAGTTCTTATACAGTCCCAGTTCACTCACATCTGCTGAATGCTGCCGTGATATGCTAATGCACTTTTCTCGGCTTTTATTAAGCTGTTCTTGATTTTGAAGATCTGATTAATTTACAAAAATAAGTTTTACACTGAAAATCAAAACAATTCTCTATTCACGACTCACCTCTACATTATTCCAAATTTATTCCATCTTGTTCTATTTTGTTTTCATTCCCTCAATGATTGACCAAATGGAATGAAGTCAACAAAAACGTTTTTGATTTCTTCAGACAAATTGAATCTCAACAAATGTAACAATTATCGACATCTACTCAATGTTGATATTGTCAGGAGTTGCATAAAATAAGGCACTATAATATTTGGCCTTTAAGACTGATGAAATATTGATCTTAACGTACTCTGGCTCCCAAAAGGTTATTCAACTCGTTTTTAATGTCTGGAGAAAATTATGTCAAGAAACCAGGTTTTCCAGAAACTATATTTAGATGTTGTCTCATAACAGGATCAAATCTTTGCCAAATAATTCAACAAAGCCAGAAAAATTTCCTGGATAATTATCACTGACAGGAGCTCACGATGACCTAGGAAAGGCAGTTTCTGCTGAGCCACAGTCGGACTTGTCACAACGATTCGTTCAAGAATGTCGGTTTATTTTTTCCTAATTTAGTAATTTAATGTAGACAGTCATCAATTATCCCACGTTTATTCAAACCACGTTCCAACTTCTACAGATACAGAGTGATGCACAGGATTGCTATTTCTACAGCCACCACCACTACTTCTACAGCCACCACCACTACTTCTACTGCAACTACTTATACTACAAAAAATTCTCTTTTACCCCTCTCCCTCCCTTAAATATATTCTGGCCTTCTTCTCTCGCTTCAGTGTGACTTGGCAATGGTCCAGGATGGACCAGGCATAAGGTTTTAACATGATTATGTATATTATATATTGCTACTTTTATTGAGAAAACTGCCCTTGCACGTACTTACATTGTTGGGTAATGTCTAGCAATTTTCAGAAGAACATAAGGAGGAACACTGCAGCAGACATACGGGCCAATACTAGGCAAATCCTCCGCAAACCCAAACCCACTAACAAAAATATATGCCCAGCCCATTTTCAATGTTACTCAAGGAGGTTAGGTTAGGTAAGGTTCGTCAGGAAACAGGAAAAGAGTTTCCTGACGCGGGTCTTAGTCAGATGACCCAGCTTTGGAGCTTTTGGTCATCTGACCGAGACCTTCCGCTGGCTTACCGGTCCACCCCTTCAAAAATTATGGTTATTTATAACCATTTAGTAGTAGTTTTACTCAAGGAATAAGCTTTAAAAACCCTATTAACTGTGTACAAGTCCCACTCAAATCCAACCCCACATAAAGCTCAGTACTTCAATACTTTCCTTTTTATCGTACTGCGCCGCTGTTGTTGCCACACCTTGGACTGTGTAACCCTGGGCGGCCAGACAGCATCCCCCCCCCCCCACTCACCTTACATGCGCCACTCATTTCTTAATTATGTTTTTGACTGTAGCTTCATTTTTTGAGCTTGACTATGACATTAAAATGCTGAGGAGCTAGACTTAATCTGAATATAAACTAATCCTTCCAAAATACTTCAATAGTACCCTAAAATGAGAGCGAGCCTCGTTATATAATTAAACCACGAAACAAGTGGTACTGAAAAATTTACCAAAGTGCGACCAGCTGAGATTAGATCCTGCGACACATTCTCCCGCCTCAAGAGACAGAACAACGTTCACATTGCCTTATCCACTTAACCAGCGATCCTCCGATCACACACCCAGCGGATCTAGGTGTTATTTGTGATCGGAGGACATGTATATTTCTTAGGGTCATATTATATTTTGTAGCCAAAAAAAAAAAAAAAAAGACTAACTTGTCAATGTTCGCCATTTTATTTTGTTCCTATGTACTCATCATTTAATAGAGATATCTGTGCTTTCTGCCGACAGAGACACTGACACACAGTATAGTAGACACAGCGGAGACACTGGAGGATCTGTCACACCCTTGCACCAGAGAGTGTGCGACGGGTGACTTCAGGATCTGTCACTACACGTTCAAGGTAGGTGACTTTCCTGAGCTAAGACATGAATTTCACTGTTTGTTTTAATAATTTTCTTATTGTTGTGGTTGATCAGTGTCCTCCGTGCGTCATCAGGAGCTATGCAATATTGCAAGAGCAGCAACAGGTAGACTGAGGGGAAGTTTTCTCTGAGGAAGGTAGCGTGAAGACTCCAGCATGGCCCCATCATGTCTGCTACGAATATCAGGCTACGAAGGAAGTCTATTTCGCAGCTCATTCTGATATAATTGTGCAGTGCTAAGTTGCTCATTATGATGTAAGCAAAAACCGAAAAAGCTCAGCAGCACTTCCGGCACTCAGACGCCTGGTAGTTGAATACAGTGGTCACTAAATCCTAAATTTATTTCTTCATAGAAAGATATGAAATTCCTGTGTCTCTGAGATTTGCTGCGGCCTCTACCTAAATTCACTATGTGAAAAAGACCTCATGCTTCTTCATCTAACCAACTAGCCCAATTAGCTCACCGTCAATTAAAATAAGGGAACATTTGAAATCCTCCATATTCATATAGTCAAATTACAAGCTGCTTAAATGTCTGAACCTTTCGTACTAATATCCAAGAGTTGTATTTTGTACATGTGAATACGAGCATTTGGCCTAAGTCACTGATGTCAGTACTATCGCGTAAGGTCAGTGAAAAGTATTCGCATTTCTTCATTATATTTTCAGTTCGAGAGAAGCTCGTTCACTAAGTTTGTTTAGTTTTGTTGCTAGTGTTTGATCAGGCGATGACTTACGACTTTTCTGCAAATTAATCTTCCCAGAACGATTGTGCCATTTTCACTTCACACTACTTTATCAATTTTCCATCCCTAAATGAGGTATAAATATTTGTGAAAGTACCATGTACCAGTAATATGTTAGGTAAAAGGACACCTGAGCAAGTAGGGAAACAATTCATTATAGCTACAATTTCGCTCTCCAGTGCTTTATTATGCCCGAAAACAATGAACGTTGTGAAGGGTCTTCATGTAATGTCTACTGGAAATCTATTATTTTAGTATCCGACAACATGCATAAATGTTAGTCGAATTACTGACAATGTTACGACACAAGAGCAACTGATGAGACATTTATCAGGGCTACGTAGTGAATTTTACTTCGGTATTACGGAATTAGGCAACAAAAACACTGAGCTTGACTCTATCATCATTACTGATTCTATGTCATCATTGAAGGCTCTTGGCTCATATAATGACTCCAACAACATGCTCATTGGGGAAGCCAGGTATAGATACTCAAAAATAGGGACAAGGATAATGTACAATGCTATGGATTCCCATCACACATTGGATTACTCCTTCATGAAAGTCAAGTTGATATAGTTAGCCAGAAGATATCGAGAAGGAGAATGTAGAATATAACTTTGGTATAACTGTGTCAAGCATTAGGAATAATATAGGAGAGAAGTAAATAATGAAAATGATTGTTATAGGAATTGCAGTTAAAGCCTGAGTAGATCTATAACCCACTATGATATTTACAAGAACGTAGATAAGTATGTTTTATGAGCAACTTGCAATGTGAACAACTGACTGATGTAGTAGTGCCAGGCTTAGGCTTGGTTACAAGTACTTCTGCAGTTTGGGAGACACACAGATGATGATCAAACTAAATGTAAATTATGTGATCAGGCATATGGTCACTCTCTTGAACACTATGTGCTTAATTGTCCACTTATTGAGGAATACAGAGACAGACAGTATAATAACCTATGTGACATGTCAAGATATCTTATTAAAGAAAATAAGATACCAGATATACTAAGGAAATTTCCTAAATTTGCTTGTAACAGATAAGTGAACTATAGATATGTAGATATAAATCCATATGTATTCCTGTTAACCCTTTGGGGCCTAGTTCCTAGGCCTTTTGTGTATCCATATGCTCTCGCGCTACCGTCCACAGGATGGATATGGGGTGCACAATAAACTAGCCACTTCGGTGGCAAAATCTAAGGCAACAAAAAGACATTTAAAATTCTTTTACAGGTAGAATGGTACATCACTATGAGCAAGGCTTGTTATGATTGTCCTTTCAATATAACTGACTGTTCCCGTCGTCACTGTGCTGCTGCAGATGGGTATGAAAGGCCTCTCGTCACGGTGAACCGAAGGCTACCCGGACCGTCCATTCACGTGAGTAATGTCTCAACAAGACGCAAATTTTTCCCGTTTAATTGGTTATCCCCACAGGAGTACCTATACGTGGTTGCCTGATTTATTTTCTTTAAAAATTTGGTTTGTAACTTGTGAACGCCTCACTCGATCGGTTTTAAACTTTCGACGCTGGTGCACTGTATCTAGAGAAAGGTTCGTGAAACTCAGTAATGGCGCGTCCATCTGTTACTTGATGTTTGTAGTAGTAATGATAAGGTGCTTGAATTTGAACGAGATTGTATCTACATATACTGTGTAGCTTAATTTTGTGAATGATTTAAATCTTAGTATAAGATGCAGACAAATTGGTTTAGAAAGACGCTTGAACAAACACTAGGACATATTTATTAGAAAACGTTTCGGTTCTGGGATCTTGATTAAGGTCCCAGAACCAAAACGTTTTCCAAGAAATATGTCCTAGTGTTTGCTCCTAGTGTTTGTCTTTCTAAATTAGTTTTGTAAATAAACTGTAATATATGAAATGATCGTGTTATTAAAGGTAGATATGCACAGTGAGGTCTGACAAAGACTCATTGTGACTTCTATTCCGTTCTTTTGCGCTATCACTCTCAGTATAAACATAAGCTGCTAGTAAGCTAGCTGCTTCAGGCGACAAAGAACATATGTAGGAAATAGCCACATTTTTCATGTACGACTATTACGGACCCTGACGCAAAACGGTGTCTTTTATCCTTCAAAATTCGGTTTTCTATTAAGCGAAGATAGGTTGCCGAAATGAGATTTTTTTCTGCACTCCACATTGTTTCTTTTAATTAATTTATGCAAACGAAGTATCGTTATAAGGGAGAGTCGTCAACACTGTCTTCTACCAGCATTTTAGTGGTTTAGGGGGCTGTATCGCAATTTTCCGCGCGCTGACAAAAAAAAAAATCGAAAAATTATGGAAATTGAGTTATTTATACCGAAAAATAGCTTAACTCTTTGGAAACACAATGGTACCAGAATGAATGTTCTACGACGTTTCTACAAGAAATTATAGTCATTTATATTAGGTATGGTGACGGCGATGTGGGTAGCGAGTCGGCTCACAGCCCATATATTTTTTGGAATTTTTTCCTTGTTTTTTATCTCTTTTTCTTGCATTATTCTTTCTAATATAATAACTGACTATTTGGCATCATAAAACAGTAGGCGGAGCTTATCCATAGACTTAGAGCCATCTGGGAACACTCGTCAGTGTTCCCGCTCCAGAGAGTGCCAGGAGAAATCACTTCATTATTACGCTTATGTCAGCTTATATATCAACTCTACGGCTTATTTATGTATCAGAATTGATCTACTATGATATAATAAACACTATAAATAACATACAAACATGTTTTATACTCAAGACTGAATAAAATAAGCCATAATATGGCGAGAGACCATCTGGAATATTTCGATATAAATGAGTTACTACTCTCATGTCGTATTCTTTGGTCTCTGAGTAAGAGAAAACAGTATTTTGAAGAGGTTAACTGTACTAGAACATCAGTTTACTAAGAAATACACCCAAACAAACGCGATTTTCGCGATTTTTTTTTTTTGAGACGGTGGGCCGGCCGGCGCTCCAGGCCAATATCTCGGAAGTAACTTATTCACTTCACGGTACCTAGGCTGCCTTTATTACTTAATTAAATGTAATAATATTCACAGAAATTGTAGAATAATGATTTCTCTAATTTTAAAAGTATTCATTTTTGGGAAAAATTCCCCAATACTTTGGGGGTTATGTGGGATAAGAGCAATTTTGTGCAACATTCCAAAACTAACAAACTTATTTTTTTGAAATAAAGATAAGTTATTTAGGAAAGGTAATAATTATAAATACTTTTAAAGCATGTTCCTCGGCACAAGTGTCCAACAACCCTTACGTGTCCCAAAATAGGCCTTTCCACCGTCCCAAGGGCATTTTCAGTAAATCATCTTTTTCCCGTGTTTTCTCAGTTTTTTGTTTGAGGGATATTTTTGATAAATATTTCAAGAAAGAGGAAAAAAAATTTGTCTTGGCCCAAAAGTAGAGGAATTCGGACGGTAAACAAAAGTGCTTACTTTATTTGGTTGCAGGCCCCTCAGTTTATATGTGGGTTTCCAGCAATTAACTTGCTTTTACAGGGAACCTTGATTAAATGTGAACTCTCTAACATTCTATCAATCGAGAAAATACATTTTATATTACTGTATCTTGGTAATATTTCTATCTTCTACTATGTAGTATTGCTGATTGACTGATAACACTACTGACAATCAAGTTCCCTATGTATTAACACGAGTTAAAAAATAGAATTATCTGGTGAAATTGATCTGTATAACAGAAGGACTCTTCAGGTATGTGTCGGAGACGAGCTGGTAGTAGACGTTATTAATGAACTGGGCAGTGACTCGACCTCTATCCACTGGCATGGGCTACACCAGTGGGGTACCCCATACATGGATGGTGTGGCCTTCCTCACCCAGTGTCCCATCACTGCTGGCACAACCTTTAGGTAACATTACTTAACTTTCTTTTTATGTCAGGTTTTCCCCAGTTTTCTTAATCAGCATAAAATACGGAATTTATAATGCTCTCTGACTAAATTAAAAATACTGAAACAGTACAATAAAAATAATAAAAAGAAATAGGAATACGGTAATAATAATAACATGTATAAGTTAAGTATGTGCTCCTCAGATACCACTTCCTGGCAGATCATCCAGGAACACACTACTGGCACTCTCATTCTGGTAAGTGCTCATATCATCCATTAATTTTTAAGGGTACGAAGACACACTATTCTGAATAGCTATTACCGAGACAACTTTTCGCTCGTGCTCGAGTTTATCAGGTCATACCTTGATGAAGGTCTTGTCTTCCTCAGCGAAACACTGCCATAATAAAAGCGTGTTCTACATTTTGTGCCTTTACTGCAATGTTCAAGTGACTGAAGTTATTGTGTAAATTACCTCTTAACATTACTGAATCCAATTTTGTAAATATTTTATTATTTAACATAGCTTAAAGAATTTGGGGGATCAGTCCCTGGATTCATTCTGTAATATTTCGATACATAGCAAATGTGTAGAATCCTTACGATAACGTAAAAGTCAAAATGACTGATTTCTATTGGACACCTTTCTTTGTTAGATGATGGGACCCCCAGTGGAAACAGGTCACATTGCTGGACTTATTAAATTATTCCAGGTTAAATTCTGCATTATTAATATATAAATATAATTGAAAACGTTTTCAATTATGTCTATGTCCAGGCCCGGTGGCTAAAGCTCCCGCTTCACACTCGGAGGGCCCGGGTTCGATTCCCGGCGGGTGGAAACATTTCGACACGTTTCCTTACACCTGTTGTCCTGTTCACCTAGCAGCAAATAGATACCTGGGTGTTAGTCGACTGGTGTGGGTCGCATCCTGCGGGACAAGATTAAGGACCCCAATGGAAATAAGTTAGACAGTCCTCGATGACGCACTGACTTTCTTGGGTTATACTGGGTGGTTAACCCTCCGGGGTTAAAAATCCGAACGAAATCTTATCTTATCTTATCAAGAGCTTTTTGACTAGAATGTGATAGTACCCCATACTGGATGATGGAATTCAGAAAGAAAACGAAGCGGCAGAAGGTACAGTAAACTGAACTAAAAGTGCAGGAAACTGCATGTGCGGAAGAGAATGAGGAAAAGGAAAAGGAGGAAGAAAGAGAAGAAAATAAAAAGGAGGAAGAAGATTTATTTGAATTAGTAGTCCAGGATAACACAATAAATCTATTGTGGCTTATTTCCCTTTTCCCCGGGATGCGACCCACTTACTGCTAGGTAATTAGGGGCAACGGGAGTAAAAAAAAATATGCCCAACGTTTCAACTTGTCCTGGGCTTGAACCTTAGTCCTTCAAATGTGAGGTACGAATGTCCCTAGAAATGTATATCTGATGCGGTTGTGTCAGGTTGTTGTGTTTAATAGCTCTCTAAACCTGTGGCTCGGTTGATAAAGCACTCGCCTCGTTTGCAGAGTGTCCGTAGCTCGCTTCCCGGCTGGGGTGGAAATGTTGGGCTTGTTTCCTAACACCTGTTGTTCCTGTTCACCTAACAGTAAGTAGGTACCTGGGTAATAGTCGGTTGGTGTGGGTTGCATCCTGGGGGGACAAGATTAAAGGACCCCAGTGGAAATAAGACAGACAGTCCTCGAATGACGCATGACTTTCTTGGGTTATCCTGGGTAGCTAACCCTCCCCCGGGTAAAAAAAAATCCGAACAAATCCTTATCTTAATGTAATTTCCATAATTCAGATTTATATACGAACAGAAATATGCCAAAATTTGATAAATTAGACACATGTGCAACACTTGGGTATCTTTGAGGAAACGTTTCGCCACACAGTGGCTTCATCAGTCCATACAAAGGAGAACATTGAAGAACAGGAGGAGTTTGAGGTAATCAGTCCCTCAGCCTTGAGTTGATGTGGTCAGTCCATCAATCTTGAAAAGAACTGCAAGAAGCCCCTATCACGAGCTTTTACCATCCTATGGAGAGGGAGCATGGACACGGGGGTCGTCCCACAGTTACTAAAAACAACAGACATAGCCCCACTCCACAAAGGGGGCAGTAAAGCAATAGCAAAGAACTACAGACCGATAGCACTAACATCCCATATCATAAAAATCTTTGAAAGGGTCCTAAGAAGCAAGATCGCAACCCATCTAGAAACCCATCAATTACACAACCCAGGGCAACATGGGTTTAGAGCAGGTCGTTCCTGTCTGTCTCAACTATTGGATCACCACAAGGTCCTAGATGCATTAGAAGAATGCAGATGTAATATATACAGACTGCAAAAGCCTTCGACAAGTGTGACCATGGCGTAATAGCGCACAAAATGCGTGCTAAAGGAATAACAGGAAAAGTTGGTAGATGGATTTATAATTTCCTCACAAACAGAACACAAAGAGTAGTAGTCAACAGAGTAAAGTCCGAGGCGGCTACGGTGAAAAGCTCTGTTCCACAAGGCACAGTACCGCTCCCATCTTGTTTCTCATCTTCATATCTGACATAGACAAGGATGTCAGCCACAGCACCGTGTCTTCCTTTGCAGATGACACCCGAATCTGCATGACAGTGTCTTCCATTGCAGACACTGCAAGGCTCCAGGCGGACATCAACCAAATCTTTCATTGGGCTGCAGAAAACAATATGAAGTTCAACGATGAGAAATTTAAATTACTCCGATATGGTAAACACGAGGAAATTAAAACCTCATCAGAGTACAAAACAAATTCCGGCCACAAAAACCAACGTCAAAGACCTGGGAATGATCATGTCGGAGGATCTCACCTTCAAGGACCATAACATTGTATCAATCGCAGCTACTACAAAAATGACAGGATGGATAATGAGAACCTTCAAAACTAGGGATGCCACTCTTCAGGTCGCTTGTTCTATCTAGGCTGGAATATTGCTGCACACTAACAGCACCTTTCAAGGCAGGTGAAATTGTTGACCTAGAAAATGTACAGAGAACCTTCACGGCGCGCATAACGGATGCTAAAACACTTCAATTACTGGGAGCGCTTGAAGTTCCTGAACCTGTATTCCCTGGAACGCAGGCGGGAGAGATACATGATTATGTACACCTGGAAAACCCTAGAGGGACTAGTACCGAACTTGCACACGAAAATCACTCACAACGAAAGCAAAAGACTTGGCAGACGATGCAACATTCCCCCAATGAAAAGCAGGGGTGTCACTAGCACGTTAAGAGACAATACAGTAAGTGTCAGGGGCCCGAGACTGTTCAACAGCCTCCCAGCATACATAAGGGGGATTACCAGTAGACCTCTGACAGTCCTCAAGCAGGCACTGGACAAGCACCTAAAGTCGGTACCTGACCAGCCGGGCTGTGGCTCGTACGTTGGATTGCGTGCAGCCAGCAGTAACAGCCTGGTTGATCAGGCTATGATCCACCAGGAGGCCTGGTCACATACCGGGTCGCGGGGTCGTTGACCCCCGGAACTCTCTCCAGGTAAACTCCAAGAAGTAGCTTATATACCGAAGGCAGGAGAGGTGCAGCAGTCGTAGGTTGTATCACATTTCTACGGACACGCTCCATCCCTGCTCCACGGATCCTGTGCGGTCTAGCAAAACCATGGAGGTGTTCCCATACTTCATGGGAAAATGAAGGGCGAGTGCGTGAGCATGGTGTGGGTGGATGAGTGCTGGCTCCTCTCTCACGAGATGGACCATGTGAGAGAGACATGTCTGCCTCTGGGAGAATCTTTTCCCCTCAATCTACCTGTTGCAACGCTTGCATCATTGTATTGGTTCCGACGTGGCATGCAAGACTAATGCTTAGACCTAGTGTTTTCCATCCCCTTGTAGCAGGAGATGCAACATTTCCCCGGTGAGAAGTAGGGGCGCCACGAATACATTGAGAGACAACACAGTAAGTGTTCGCGCCACGATTACATTGAGAGACAACACAGTAAGTGTTCGGGGCCAAAGACTGCCTCCCAGCATTCATAAGGGGGATTGCCAATAGACCCCTGGATGTCTTCAAGAAGGCACCTAAAGTCAGTACCTGACCAACCGGGCTGTGGTTCGTACGTCAGTTTGCGTGCAGCCAGCAGTAACAGCCTGGTTGATCAAACCCTGATCCACTATGAGGCCTGGTCTCAGACCGAGCCGCGGGGGCGTTGACCCCCGAAACCCTCTCCGGGTAGCTTGTTTTGCATTACACACACACACACACACACACACACACACACACACACACACACACACACACACACACACACACACACACATCCATGGTATGGTATTCTAAATCTTGATCCTTTAATTTTAGTCAATAATTTTTTAGTTTGTTTAGTGCCTTTTCTAATTCAAATTTTCATTACTTATTTAGGGTTCCAGCGAGCTGATGGGATGTTTGGGTCACTTGTCATCCGTGAGCCACGAGAACATGATCCCCAGAAGCACCTCTATGACGAAGATGACTTCCGTCACATGTTCGTACTTACTGACTGGCTCGATGGTCTGGGCATTGAGAAGTTTGTCAACCATCATCATACAGAGGTACGGAAACTGAAGATCCGATGGATGGAATATAATCTCAGCAGGTGCTAACTCTGATCTTCAGTTAGATTATAGTCTCAGCAGGTGCTAACTCTGATCTTCAACACCTTAAAAATGCCTTGTTGCATCTGATTATTATTCTTATAATGAAATCAAGCGCTAAACCCAAAAGGGTAATACAGGACTGTTTCAGCTGAATAGCAGTTACAAGATGCTTAAAATATATTTTCTTCAAACAAATTGAATGAAAAATGAAATTCAGTTCCTCTTGATGAAGTTGCATAATCTGGCAACCCCTCTTGGTTCTGGCCAGCACCCCCCTTGGTTCTAGCCAGCACCCCCATTGGTTCTGGCCAGCACCCCCATTGGTTCAGGCCAGCACTCCCCTTGGTTCTAGCCAGTACTCCTCTTGGTTCTGGCCAGCACCCCCATCCACTTTTCTACAGGTTTTTTGAGTACAAAAGATTTTATCTTCTGAAAATGCCATCTTAAATAGACGGATAATTAGACTTTGGTTGTAGTTGTGTATTCGGACCATAATTTCCTCAGATCATTTGACCTCAGTCCCTTAGTGATCTTATGACATGTTCCAGTGAATCAATATAACTTTTATATTTTTGTTAGATTAATTTCTAGTATCACACACAGCACGACAACAAACCTTACAACCTGCTCGTCAATGGACGGGGAAAACATGTCAAGTTCGCGAGAGATGGGACAGAGGTCTACACGCCTGTCCAAGAGTTTATTGTTAAACCGGTACGTTTATTATTATTATTGGTGGTAAGAGTAGTAGTAGCATTAAAAGGGAAGCGTTAAACGCAGGGGTCGTACAGTGAAGGGGAATGGGAAGTAATCAGGTTTGTCCCAAATAATGGGTAAATTGCTCCGATTCTTTCAATGGAGAATCCTTCACCAGGATCGAGGCAACTCTCGTGAAGGACGGTACGTACAAAAACATGGAAGGTTTTGCGAGACTGGAGCCTCAATATCAAGTATAAAATGTCCAGCATGTTGCATAATTTGTGTATATTCTGACGAATATATTGCTCTCGATTTGTATGTACTGAGATCAGCAGCATATACGCAAAGTAGTATATATACCTCAGTAAGTATACACTTCAGTTACTTTATTTTCTATGCTGGATATTAAAATATAGTATTCTTGACGAGTGGTACACTAGGGACATGCAGCCCTGTACTCGATGAACGTTAAACCTAATAAACCGGTTAGCTTGCATGTTTAGAGGTAGTTGATTTTACTGAATCTAAATTTGTAGTAAAATGCTAAACATCATTTGAAGAAAATGTCATAGTACTGTATCAGATTGTTTAAGTATCCGGGATTAACTTCGTGTTAATCCCGGATACTTGTACTAATGGAAAGGCTTGTTAGAGTTAAAACAGCTACTCTTTGCTGATGACACAGTTCTTTTAGGAGAGTCTGAAGAAATGTTTTGAAGGTTGGTGAACGATATCGGGAGTGTTTAAATGGAAATTAAAAGTGAACATAGAAAAAGAAAAGTAATAAAGGTAACGTAAAATCTAGGCAATGAAAGATTATCAAACTGGAGGAAATATGGAGGAATTGGATGTATACAGATATTTGGGAGAAAACATGTCAGCGGATGAGTCTATGAAAGACGAAGTGAGCCAAAGAATAGATAAAGGGGGGAAAAAGGTGGTGTTAAATTGAAGAGCCTGTGAAAAGAAGTATATCTATGGAGGAACAAGAACTCACTACGGTATAGTAGTACCAATACTTTTGGTGAGAGACTGAGTGATGATGGTGTTTCTTATATATATATATCGCGTCGCCCTGCCTTGGTTATATATATCCTAGGTAGTAGGCTGGTAGACAGCAACCGCCCAGGGAGGTACTACCGTCCTGCCAAGTGAGTGTAAAACGAAAGCCTGTAATTGTTTTACATGATGGTAGGATTGCTGGTGTCCTTTTTTGTCTTATAAATATGCAAGATTACAGGTACGTCTTGCTACTTCTACTTAGGTCACACTACACATACATGTACAAGCATATGTATACACACCCCTCTGGGTTTTCTATTTTCTTTCTAGTTCTTGTTTATTTCCTCTTATCTCCATGGGGAAGCGTGTTACGAACATAGTTGGTCCCTGGGTTATAGTGCTTTTCGTAACACACTAGCGAACTTAGCACGTCTAGGGGTCTTCATTCGTGGAGGAAAATTAATTCCCTTGGTTTCTGTTTATTAATAACCATAATAACCACTTAAATCCACTTTCTCATATTTTGCACTATGAGTAGAACAGTTATCCCACTCCTCATTAAAACATCACAGTACTAGGTTAAGTATTTACAAATGGCTCTGAGTCAGGAAATATCGGTATATGTGCATGCACAGGCGTTGCTTAAAAACTCGAGCACCACATTGATAGAGCTCTTACATAGGGTTCACTCTGCAATAAGCCCTCTTACACCACAGAGGCTTGCTCACTTGGTTTCACTTTCTCTAAGAGCTTCTCAACCGCCTTCTCTAACCGAGATAAGTCTTAGCAATGAGTTTCCGAAAATTCCTGGTATTTTCTAGGGAGGCGAATGTTGGTCTAGAGGTGGATACTTCCCTAGACCCTTCCTGGTCCAGAGGAAGGCATGAACTTAAAGTGAGGCTTTACCAGCCCACTTTGACTCGGTCGGAGCAGGGGTTGAGCAGCTCAAATCACCTACTGGTGCTTGGCCAGGTCGCACCAGCAGTTTGGACTAATTAAATAACCTACCTATGTGCAAAGCTAAGTAATACGACCAGATAATATTATGAAGTCGAGGAAATCCATTTTAGCTACTAATGGAATTGCTCCTGAATATAATATTAAGTGAAATAACAAAAATAACATGTAAAAGTATACCATTGCAATAATAACAGGTAGAAACTGTCTACTTAAAATCGACAAAAGGGTGTAACAAAGTGGAACAGAATTCTTCCTCCGTAAGCCATGCATGTTGTAAGAGGCGACTAAAATGCCGGGAGCAAGGGGCTAGTAACCCCTTCTCCATCATAAATTACTAAACTTGAAAAGAGAAACTTTTGGTTTTCTTTTTGGGCCACCCTGCCTCGGTGGGATACGGCCGGTTTGTTGAAAGATAGATTATATATATATATATATATATATATATATATATATATATATATATATATATATATATATATATATATATATAAAGGCTTCGATCAATAGGGGCATGGAGTTATTACATTTAAAGGAGGGTGGGAGGGAAGGGGGGGGGGTAACGGTCATATCCAATGTCTTGCATCAAGACCCCCTCACCGGTGTCAAGGACTTCCCTTGAGGAAAGTGACCGAAAGTAACCCTTCCTTTATTATTATAATTATTAAATACATTTAAAAAATACAGGAATTTTCTAGCATAGAATCGTTCATTATTATTATGATTTTTTTTTACTTGTGAAAGATCATTAAATCTGCTTACACTCATTATAATACTTATTATTTTAACAGTGTCATCGCTTAATAAATATTGTGTAATTTATATATTTAATGATAGATTTATATCGTATACTAACAGTAATTCATTTGACTTATTTCGACAGGGACGTCGCCACAGGTTCAGAGCCTTAAGTAACAGTATTCAGAACTGTCCTATTGTTATTTCTGTTGACAACCACACACTTCTTCCCATCACTACTGACGGTAGCCCCATCCAGCCTGTGGAAGGTTAGTTTAGTGTTCCATTACCGTTGATGGTAGCCCCATCGAGCCTGTGGAAGGTTAGTTTAGTGTTCCATTACCGTTGATGGTAGCCCCATCCAGCCTGTGGAAGGTTAATTTAGTGTTCCATTACCGTTGATGGTAGCCCCATCCAGCCTGTGGAAGGTTAATTTAGTGTTCCATTACCGTTGATGGTAGCCCCACCCAGCCTGTGGAAGGTTAATTTAGTGTTCCATTACCGTTGATGGTAGCCCCATCCAGCATGTGGAAGGTTAGTTTAGTGTTCCATTACCGTTAATGGTAGTCCCATCCAGCCTGTGGACGGTTAGTATATTGTTCCCATCACTGTTGATGGGAGTAGACTAAATTGTTACCATCACAGTTGATGGTAGTCTGTGGAAAGATTTGTATAATACAGTTATTCAGGCTAAAACGTTGTGAATTTTTAAAAATAGCTTAGATAAATACATGAGTGGGTGTGGGTGGGTGTGAGTTGGACCTGACTAGCTTGTGCTGCTGGGTCTGGTGCAGTGCTCAATCCTTGAGTGGAGGTGACCAGACTGGGTGAGTCATTGGGCTAATCCGGGGAAGGGGACATGGACCTGCTCCGCATGGGTCAGTAGGCCTGTTACAGTGTTCCTTCTTTCTTATGTTCTTATGTAATATTAACTGTTAGACGACAATGTGGAAACTGAAGGAACAGTTTGAATGGATGTGTGATGGAAGGAAACTGTGAAAACTTAGAAAGAAAGAAAAAAAATGAGATTCGTTTATTTGAAAGCTCGCTGTTGTTTGAACTTCAGAGAGCATATAGTTAGGGCAGCAAAATTAGTAAATTACCAAGATATATGTGGCAATATTATGCTCGTCTTACTGATTATTTTACTTGCGTGTGTAAAGTTTGTGTCGCTATTTTTGACTGGTATTTTTCCATGAGGTAAGTGAATCCTACATAGGATACAATACTATGCTGTGATTGTTGTTTTACAACAATAATGTTGTGCCGAATAGGTAAAATTAGTAAATTAGCAAGAACTCGTTTAAAATTAAATCCCTTCTAAAATTTTCTCTTATACGCTTAAACACACACACACATATATATATATATATATATATATATATATATATATATATATATATATATATATATATGATGGGGCCCACCTATGGTGTAAATTGTGGGACCCATAGCTTCGGAGAAGTGGATAAAAAGGCTTCAAGGAAGAATATTTGGATTTCTTCCTGAAGCCGTTTGAATATTCCACTTCCCCTACCACCCCATCTTTTTATTTTTATACATGTTATATGTTATATATATATAATAATATATATATATATATATATATATATATATATATATATATATATATATATATATTCATTTATGTTAATGTAAAAATTAATAATTTTGTACCAAAAGAACCATAATAAACTTACCTAACCTTATTATAGCAAGAGCAATTTAATTTAGCCTAATCCAACTAAATATATTTCAGATAAGTTTACAATAATTTAATAATAAACAAATACAATGAAATATAATTTTTTGTTAGGTTCTGAAAGATTTTTGCGAAATTATTGCATATACCAATTTTAGATTGCCTTATTCGGCAAAAAGAGCGTTGCTATTTAAGCCAAAATAGCAAGTTTTAATTATTCGGCACGACATTATATAAACGATCTTCAAATGAATAATATCATATCTGTATACTCTATTGCATTCAACTGCGTTCCAGTCCACCCATCTAACAATTCTTTTTATTTTTTTTCAGTGGAATCACTAACTATATATGGAGGGGAAAGATGGGACTTCGTAGTGAATGCTTCACAGAGCATTGCAACGTACTGGATAAGATTCCAAGGAATGCTGGACTGTGACGACCGCTTTAAGTCTGCCCACCAGGTAAATGCCATCCCATGGTAAGCTCAGAATTTAATCCATATGTTTATGTATGGCGTCACGAACATAAGAGGTTATAATATAAGGCGCAGTAATGTGCGTGTATTCTGAGTTTACCTGGAGTTTACCTGGAGAGAGTTTCGGGGGTCAACGCCCCCGCGGCCCGGTCTGTGACCAGGCCTCCTGGTGGATCAGCGCCTGATCAACCAGGCTGTTGCTGCTGGCTGCACGCAAACCAACGTACGAGCCACAGCCCGGCTGATCAGGAACTGCCTTTAGGTGCTTGTCCAGTGCCAGCTTGAAGACTGCCAGGGGTCTGTTGGTAATCCCCCTTATGTGTGCTGGGAGGCAGTTGAACAGTCTCGGTCCCCTGACACTTATTGTATGGTCTCTTAACGTCTAGTGACACCCCTGCTTTTCATTGGGGGATGTGCATCGTCTGCCAAGTCTTTTGCTTTCGTAGTGAGTGATTTTCGTGTGCAAGTTCGGTATTTAGTCCCTCTAGGATTTTCCAGGTGTATATAATCATGTATCTCTCCCTCCTGCGTTCCAGGGAATACAGGTTTTAGAAACCTCAAGCGCTCCCAGTAATTGAGGTGTTTTATCTCCGTTATGCGCGCCGTGAAAGTTCTCTGTACATTTTCTAGGTCGGCAATTTCACCTGCCTTGAAAGGTGCTGTTAGAGTGCAGCAATATTCCAGCCTAGATAGAACAAGTGACCTGAAGAGTGTCATCATGGGCTTGGCCTCCCTAGTTTTGAAGGTTCTCATTATCCATCCTGTCATTTTTCTAGCAGATGCGATTGATACAATGTTATGGTCCTTGAAGGTGAGATCCTCCGACATAATCACTCCCAGGTCTTTGACGTTGGTGTTTCGCTCTATTTTGTGGCCAGAATTTGTTTTGTACTCTGATGAAGATGGGTTGGGATATAGTTTCAGGGATCATAGGCATTTTAACGTCTTTGCAGTATTAGAAGAACAGCCGAGAATGTATGATAGTGAATGTGTTTCCTTCCTTGGATCATTCTACCCTGGTGTGTAATGTCCAGTGTTAGCACACACACACACACACACACACACACACACACACACACACACACACACACACATTACCAATATATAGTCATGCGTTTCTTAAGTATTGGCTAGCGTGACTGGGCTCGGGTGAGAGAAGACGTATGTAGTGTCATCTGCAGAAAGTGTGGGTTTGAGTAATTGCGAAGCATTTGGTAGGTCATTTATGTATAGGAGAAAGAGAAGAGGGCCAAGGACACTTCCCTGTGGGACACCAACTGTAATTGGTTGTGCGGAAGAGCTTGCCCCATTTGCGTACACATATTGGCTTCTGTTGCTGAGGTAAGACTTGAGGTAGTTGAGGGAGTGCCCTCTAATACCATAGTGTGACAATTTTACGTGGAGCAAGTCATGGTCAACTGTATCAAAAGCTTTACGTAAGTCAATGAAGATCCCCAGTGGGACTTCTTTTTTCTCTATTGCAGTGTATATATGTTCTAGCATGTGTATAATAGCATCATTAGTATTTTTATTAGGCCTGAATCCAAATTGGCAGGGGTTGAGAATGTTTTGGGAGATGAGGTAGGAGTAGATTCGTTTATGAATTAATTTTTCGAAGATTTTTGAGAGAGGGTGTAAATTGGATATTGGCCTATAGTTATTCAACTCTGGTCTCCTCCTTTATGGATCGGGGTGACCCTTGCTATTTTGAGAACTGTAGGGAAGGGGGAGGATTCATTGGATTTGTTAAAGAGTGTTGCAATGATTGGTGATAGTACTTGTAACGCTTTTTTGTATATAAAGGATGGTAAGGTATTTAAATCTCCTGCCTTGTTTTTCAGTGCGTTGATAATAAGGGAGACTTCGTATGGGTTAGTCGGAGCTAGGAACAGTGTGTTCGGGTAGTTGCCAGTGAGGTAGTCATTTGGTGGGGTATCTGAGCTTGGGATTTTATTGGCAAGGTTTTGACCTATAGTGGAGAAGAAATCATTGAGTCTGTTTGCTGTTTCTGTTGGTGGGAGTTGGGGTTCATCTGATTTTGCTAATTTTATTTCGCTATGTCGTGATATCTTTTTTGTTCCCAGAATTTCTGATAGGGTCTTCCAGGTCTTTTTTATATCACCTCGTAAGTTGGATAATCTGTTCTCATAATACAATTTCTTTGCCCTTCTTATCAGGCTGGTTAGGATTGACGAGTAACGTTTTGTTTGGTCTCTGGTTATGTGACCCATTCTGTACTGTTTTTCATATCGGTTTTTTGTATTTATGGATTTGAAAATGTGGGTTTAGCCAGGGACTGTTCTCTCTTAGCTGTATTGTTTATTTTTTTTTTAGGGCAGGCTTGTTATAAAGGTATTGGGGTTTTTTTTTAGAAAATTTTTTAAAAATTTCGTAATATCTGAAGTTTTCAGCTCAGTGTGCCATCAATGTTTACTGCTGTTGTAAGTTTTAAAGGCTGCCTCATTGGAAGTCTAAAGGGTGACTTTATGTGTTTGGGGTATTTTACCAAGGTTGTTATGAGGAAAGGAGGGTAGGGTCTGGGGTATTATTGTAATTTGCCTGATTTTAAAGGGAATGGTGTTGGTCAAAATGTGGCTCAAAAAATTATTCATTTATTCGGGTAGGGTGAGGGGATATTGGTTTTCGAGTTGTAGGGCCCCGTATATTTTTTTGGATTTTTTCCTTGTTTTTATCGCTTTTTTTGCATTATTCTTTCAATTAATAACTGAATTTGGCATTAAAAAGGAGGCGGGGGTTATGTAGACTTAGGGGACAACCAGGTCCAAGGGGAAACCTGGGCATGCCCCCGCTCCAGAGACCCCGGAAAAACACTTCTTATTACGCTTATATACAACTCTATGGCTTATTTGTCTATCAAAATGATCTAAAAAAAATTAATAAAATAAAATAGCTTCAAACTGTTATAAAACTCTGCGAATAAAATAGGCCATTTTATGGCGAGAGATTATCGGGAATATTTCGATATTATTGAGCTACTCCTCTCCATGTCGTATTCTTTGGTCTTTGAGTAAGAGAAAACGGTGTTTTGAAGAGGATAACTACACTAGAACATCAGTTTGCTAAGAAATACACCCAAACAAACGCGATTTTCGCGATTTTTTTTTTTTTTGAGACGGGGGCCGGCCAGCGTTCCCGGCCGATATCTCGCAAGTAACTTATTCACCTAAAGTCCATCATCATTCCTTTATTACTTAATTAAATGGAATAATATTCACAGAAATTGTAGAATAATGATTTCTTTTATTTCCACCGTAGACTTTTTGGAAATATTCCAAATACTTTGGGAGTTATGTGAGAGTAAAGGGCAGATTTTTTTTTGCAATATTCCAGAAACTAACAAACTTTATTTTTTTGTGAAATAACGATAAGTTATTTAGAGGAAATCTAACGATGCAAATTAGTATTAGCATTGTTCTCTCGGCACCAAGTGTCCAAACAACCTTACGTAGCCCCATACAAGAATGACTTTGGGCACAAGGGCATTTTCAGTAAATCAGTCTTTTCTCAGTTGTTGTTTGAGGTATATTTTTGATAAATATTTTCAAGAAAGAGTGAAAACACTTTGTCTTGTGCACCAAAACTGGAGAAAATCGGACGGTAAACAAAAGAGTTACGAATTTTGCCCGACGGCCCCCTTCCCAGCTAATTTATGGTTAGGTTTATTTTAATAATTAGCTTTCCTGATGACAATTTCCATTTTCTTTGTATTTACAGTATGTTGGTTGTTATATTACCATCTAATACAGTAACAGGCACCATTAAAAATGTACTTAAATGTTTTTAGAACCGGGTTAATAATACATTGCTTTATAAATCAGGAAATAAAACTATTACATGAAGATATATATTACAGGTGGCTGTGCTGCGATACGAGGGAGCTGAAGGCTTCCCTGGCAGCCTCGACCATGTCGACTACAATTCTACTGTCCGACAAGGCTTGGTTAGTCCCACCTTAACTTTAGTATTGTCACTATCTCAGATTCCATGAGGAACAATATGCTTAAAGAAATAACACTGAACGGGTTGTGTTTGTACCAATAGCAAATGAGTTCTAAAACTCTGTGGTATGTTTGCAGTAGTGTTATTACGATTTGGTGAAATATGCTCTTCCTTTATCTATATACTTCCTGCAGTTTGAAGGAAACTTTTTCAAACGATTTTCTGTGAAAGAAAATGCTGAATATTTTTATATGTTTAATATATATTAAGTCTAAGTAATGTCTGTCGCCGGTACCACTTAAACTGTGTGTGTGTGTGTGTTTACCTGGAGTTTACCTGGAGAGAGTTTGGGGGTCAACGCCCCCGCGGCCCGGTCTGTGACCAGGCCTCCTGGTGGATCAGAGCCTGATCAACCAGGCTGTTACTGCTGGCTGCACGCAAACCAACGTACGAGCCACAGCCCGGCTGGTCAGGAACCGACTTTAGGTGCTTGTCCAGTGTCAGCTTGAAGACTGCCAGGGGTCTGTTGGTAATCCCCCTTATGTATGCTGGGAGGCAGTGAGAGAGAGAGAGAGAGAGAGAGAGAGAGAGAGAGAGAGAGAGATCCAATTCATGGCTGCGTAAACAACTCATTACGACTGTGACCAGATATAAACATGTGATTAGTTCATTTCCACTCTAACTTGTTCAATTATCAGAACTTTGCTGTCCAGTCCCTGGAGCCATTACCTGGACCTGGAGTTTACCTGGAGAGAGTTTCGGGGGTCAACGCCCCCGCGGCCCGGTCTGTGACCAGGCCTCCTGGTGGATCAGCGCCTGATCAACCAGGCTGTTGCTGCTGGCTGCACGCAAACCAACGTACGAGCCACAGCCCGGCTGATCAGGAACTGCCTTTAGGTGCTTGTCCAGTGCCAGCTTGAAGACTGCCAGGGGTCTGTTGGTAATCCCCCTTATGTGTGCTGGGAGGCAGTTGAACAGTCTCGGTCCCCTGACACTTATTGTATGGTCTCTTAACGTGCTAGTGACACCCCTGCTTTTCATTGGGGGGATGGTGCATCGTCTGCCAAGTCTTTTGCTTTCGTAGTGAGTGATTTTCGTGTGCAAGTTCGGTACTAGTCCCTCTAGGATTTTCCAGGTGTATATAATCATGTATCTCTCCCTCCTGCGTTCCAGGGAATACAGGTTTAGAAACCTCAAGCGCTCCCAGTAATTGAGGTGTTTTATCTCCGTTATGCGCGCCGTGAAAGTTCTCTGTACATTTTCTAGGTCGGCAATTTCACCTGCCTTGAAAGGTGCTGTTAGAGTGCAGCAATATTCCAGCCTAGATAGAACAAGTGACCTGAAGAGTGTCATCATGGGCTTGGCCTCCCTAGTTTTGAAGGTTCTCATTATCCATCCTGTCATTTTTCTAGCAGATGCGATTGATACAATGTTATGGTCCTTGAAGGTGAGATCCTCCGACATAATCACTCCCAGGTCTTTGACGTTGGTGTTTCGCTCTATTTTGTGGCCAGAATTTGTTTTGTACTCTGATGAAGATTTAATTTCCTCATGTTTACCATATCTGAGTAATTGAAATTTCTCATCGTTGAACTTCATATTGTTTTCTGCAGCCCACTGAAAGATTTGGTTGATGTCCGCCTGGAGCCTTGCAGTGTCTGCAATGGAAGACACTGTCATGCAGATTCGGGTGTCATCTGCAAAGGAAGACACGGTGCTGTGGCTGACATCCTTGTCTATGTCGGATATGAGGATGAGGAACAAGATGGGAGCTAGTACTGTGCCTTGTGGAACAGAGCTTTTCACCGTAGCTGCCTCGGACTTTACTCTGTTGACGACTACTCTCTGTGTTCTGTTAGTGAGGAAATTATAGATCCATCGACCAACTTTTCCTGTTATTCCTTTAGCGCGCATTTTGTGCGCTATTACGCCATGGTCACACTTGTCGAAGGCTTTTGCAAAGTCTGTATATATTACATCTGCATTCTTTTTGTCTTCTAGTGCATTTAGGACCTTGTCGTAGTGATCCAGTAGTTGAGACAGACAGGAGCGACCTGTTCTAAACCCATGTTGCCCTGGGTTGTGTAACTGATGGGTTTCTAGATGGGTGGTGATCTTGCTTCTTAGGACCCTTTCAAAGATTTTTATGATATGGGATGTTAGTGCTATTGGTCTGTAGTTCTTTGCTGTTGCTTTACTGCCCCCTTTGTGGAGTGGGGCTATGTCTGTTGTTTTTAGTAACTGAGGGACGACCCCCGTGTCCATGCTCCCTCTCCATAGGATGGAAAAGGCTCGTGATAGGGGCTTCTTGCAGTTCTTGATGAACACAGAGTTCCATGAGTCTGGCCCTGGGGCAGAGTGCATGGGCTCATGTCATTTATCGCCTGTTCGAAGTCATTTGGCGTCAGGATAACATCGGATAGGCTTGTGTTAATCAAATTTTGTGGCTCTCTCATAAAAAATTCATTTTGATCTTCGACTCTCAGTCTGGTTAGCGGCTTGCTAAAAACTGAGTCATATTGGGACTTGAGTAGCTCACTCATTTCCTTGCTGTCATCTGTGTAGGACCCATCTTGTTTAAGTAGGGGCCCAATACTGGACGTTGTTCTCGATTTTGATTTGGCATAGGAGAAGAAATACTTTGGGTTTCTTTCGATTTCATTTATGGCTTTTAGTTCTTCCCGCGATTCCTGACTCCTAAAGGATTCTTTTAGCTTAAGTTCGATGCTTGCTATTTCTCTGACCAGTGTCTCCCTGCGCATTTCTGATATATTGACCTCTTTTAGCCGCTCTGTTATTCTTTTCCGTCGCCTGTAAAGGGAGCGCCTGTCTCTTTCTATTTTACATCTACTCCTCCTTTTTCTTAGAGGAATAAGCCTTGTGCATACATCGAGTGCCACCGAGTTAATCTGTTCTAGGCATAAGTTTGGGTCTGTGTTGCTTAGTATATCTTCCCAGCTTATATCGGTTAGGACTGATTATAAAAAATTTTGTTTGACAAAATTCTTTGTAAAAAAATTTACAGACAGGGTCTTTCCAAAATCTTGAAAATTGTTGAACTATTTTTCTAATGTTTAATAATTGTCGATTCTTTTTGATATTTTTTTTTTGCACCCCGCCCACCAGCGGCCAAAGGCTCTCTTTACCGCACTTCTCCCATTCAACTTTCTTACAAGATGTAAACAAAAGCTTAGAGGGTTTTTCCCAAAACTTGAGGCCTTTACTTTCAGACTGGAAAATTTTTGATACCCCAGTTCAAACTGGCAGAACTGCGACCCGCAGAACAAATAAATTTTTGCAAAGTTGTGGGTAAACCGATATACAACAAGTAACGAATTTCGACATTTGTTTTTAACATCATTTTAAGGTCTGTTGACATCTGAAAAAAAAAATGATATTTTTCTGGTGGGCGTTTTTAATAGTTGAACTTTGGGGGCCCTATTGGATGTGTATTTTAAATCAACAGCCTGACTGACCTGCTTCACCCCAAAAATCCGTCCTGGTGATTGTGAAACGATCGCCCGGAGAGATAGGTTCGGGGGCCATCCTGCCTTCAAGCTCATGTGGTGACCAGGCATAGACATGGTAGACAGGGACTAGTCCTGCCTTCACAGCTCATGTGGTGACCAGGCAGAGACATGGTAGACAGGGACTAGTCCTGCCTTCATAGCTCATGTGGTGACCAGGCATAGACTTTGGTAGACAGGGGCCAGTCCGCCGTCACAGCTCTTTGGTGACCAGGCAAAACATGGAAGACGGGGCCATCCTCCCTTTTAAAACTCATGGGGACCCGGGGAAAATGGGAGAAGGGCCAGTCCTGCCTTCAACTCATGGGGACCAGGCAGAAATATGGGAGACGGGATGTCCTGCCTTCATAGCCAGTGGGGACCCGGCAAGGGAAAGGGAGACAGGGAAAAGCCGCCTTTCAAGCTCATGGGGACCGGCAAGGGCAGGAGAAGGGACTAGTCCTGCCTTTATGTCAGGGTGACCCGGAGAAAAGGGAGCAGGGACCCTTTTTCCTTCATAGTTTATTTGGGGACCAGGCGAAACTGGTAGAAGGGACAGTCCTGCCCCAAGCTCAGGGTGACCAGGGGATAAAAAGGTAGACAGGGACAGTCCCGCCTCAATATGTGGTGACCCGGCATAGACTGGTAGACAGGGACCAGCCTGCCTTCAAGTCATGTGGTGACCAGGCAGAGAAGGTAGACAGGATAGTCCTGCCCAAGCTCATGGGTGACCAGGCGAGATAGGTAACAGGCTAGTCCCGCCTTTTGTCTTTGGTGACCAGGCATAGACATGGTAACGGGACCAGTCCTGCCTAAGTCATGTGGGACCGGCAGGACATGGGAGACAGGGGGCAAACCTGCCTTCATAGCTATTGGTGCAGGCAGAGAAAGGGAACAGGGACAGTCGCCTTTAAAGCTCATGTGGTGCCAGGCAAGACATGGAGACAGGAAAAGTCCTGCCTTTAAGCTCTTTGGGGGACCAGGCGAGAATGGTAGACAGGGGTATCCTCCTTCATACTCTTGGGTGACCAGGCGAAAATGGTAGACAGGGAAAATCGCCCTTTAAGTTTATGTGGTGACCAGGGAGAAAATGGTAGACAGGGACCCGTCCCCGCCTTTATAGCTATGTGGGACCCGGCAAAAACTGGTAGCAGGGACCGTCCGCCTTTAAGCATGGGTGACCAGGCGAAAATGGGAGCAGGGACGTCCGCCTTTATAGCTCATGTGGGTTACCAGGCAAGAAGGAGACAGGAAAAGTCCCGCCTTTCCCTCATGGGGTTTACCAGGGAAGAAAGGAACGGGGGCCAGTCCTGCCTTCAAGCTCATGGGTGACCCGGGGAAATGGAGAAGGGACAGCCTGCCCTTTATGCTCATGGGTGACAGGCAAACGGAGACAGGACCAGTCCGCCTTCAAGTCATGGGTGACCAGGCAAGAATGGGAGCAGGGGCCATCTGCCTTCAAAACATGGGGACCAGGGAAAAATGGAGCAGGGACCAGTCCTGCCTTTTACAGCTCAGCGGGACCCCGGGGAAAATGGGAGACAGGGACAGTCCTCCCTTTATAGTCTTGGTGACCGGCAAGGGAAAGGTAGCGGGACCGTCCCGCCTTAAGTCTGTGGGGCGAGAGCGAAAAAATTGTAAACAGCTTTTTCGCTTAAAAAATTTACCATGAAAAAATAGTGAGCTTCTATTTTAGCTGTTTTTTGCTGTGAATTTTTTTAGAATAATTTTATACCATAAACCCAAACAGTTAAACATTTTTCTTCCTTTTGAAGAGAGAAAAATTTTAAATAAAGTTATAAACCATTACAGGCTGGGCCAGGGGAGAACCAAAGCACATCTGGGCTGCAGACTTTGGTGAAAACCTCTCCCGGTAAAATTTGCAATGTAAAGAGCCCCGACTTTCGTGGGACAAGCAAAAAATTGCGTGAAGTGCCTTTTTCATTGGTGACCAAAACTTGTTTTTAAAGGTCCTTTCCTCCACTTTGGGAGCAAAAGTACAGTTTACTAGCTTCTTTGCCGGGGAAAAAATGAAACATTTCCCAAAAATTTAAAGCCAAATGGGTTCTGGCCATGAAGGGAAAGTTTCCTTTTTTCCAGTAACCACAAAGGGGATTAAATTTTAAAATATTTTTTTGCCCTGAATCATTATCCAGTCAGGCAACAAAGGCTTGCCTTCTAAGGGGTTTTTAAGGAAGAAGGTCAGGTACGTCAAAAACCGGGTGCCCATTTTGGTGACGAAGCCCCAACAAGGTGACCCCAAATGTTACACCAAATTTTTAAAAAAGTTATGCCCGCAGGGGGTCCTACCGTAACTACAGCAATTTCAAAGCTGTTTCATATTTTTGTTTAGGTTATCCCCAGTAACAGTTTTTTTCCTTAAAATATTAACATTAAAAAATTTTTGGAAACTAATTTCTTTTCGGAATTTTTTTGTTTAATTAAAAATTTCCATTTTTCCCCCACATTAACAATTAATCTCTCCTGAGATGGAATTCCCAAATAGAAAATCTTTGGGTGGGCGGGGGAAATTTTTTTCCACACACCGTCAAGTTTCTGGCCTTACTTTGATTTTTTGGGAAGAATAAGCCTTTTCCCTGAACAAATTTCCTTTTTTGGAGGTTTGACCTTATATTTGTTTTTTTTTCATTTAAATAAAAAAAAATTTTTTTAAGTAATTTAAATACTTAAAAAATTTTTTCCACTTCTTTTTTGAAAATTTAAATTATTTACATTTTTAAAGAGACTTTTTTTTAAAAGTATAAATATTTTTTTTAAAACTAATCCACAATTAGAAATTTTTTAATAATAATTCGTTTAATTTTTTAGAAATTCCTATTTTTTAATAAAAGTATTTTAAATTTTAATATTTTTTTTTTTAAAACCTTTCTGAAGCAGTAATAAAACCCATGAAACTTGACATTTCACTCCAGGTCTTTGGGTTTTAAATTTGTTAAAACCCATTTTTTAAGGTATCGGAAGTTTTTTTTTTCAGAAAATAAATAACTTTTCATTTTTAGATTTAAAATACCAATTTTAAGGACTTTTTGTTTTAAGCACTTCTTTTTTACGAGTTTTACTTTGACTCTTAAAGCAAGACCATTAATTGAGGGGGCATTTCTTTTTTTTTCTTTTTTATACAGATAATAAGTGGCCCCCTTTCTTTTTTTTAAAAAAGAACTTTTATTTTTGGTTTTTGTAAGAAATAGAATTTCATTGTTAAAATTTTTTTTTTTTTTTTCAAAATTAAAAAAATTTTGCTAACATCAGGACCCCCTTAGGTTTTGTGCCCAATAAAAAGATAGTTAAAAAATCAATTCCCCTTTTAAAGATTTACTAACCACCTTTGCAATCCCTTTAAAAAATTAATAATTTTACTCCCCATTTTATTTAGGGAAAGGACGTTAATTGAGTATTTATGGATGAAAGGTGATGATTTAAGGAAAGGTAATTTCTAATAGCTAAAATATTTATGTTTTCCTTAAAATAAGGGTTCCAAAATTACTGGGGGTTTGGGGGTAAAGCCCCCCACCCCGGTTTTTTATGCCAGGCTCCCAAAAGGTAGGGGGTTTTTTTAATACGTTTCGTGGCCACCAGTAAAACAGCCCCAACCGGCTATCCCGGGCACTGTTTAGTTTCTTCCCGTTCTCTCTTTGAACAGCCCCGGGTTTTTGGTAACCCCAATGCTTATGGGACTTTGCTTTTTGGGCCCCAAGGTGTTTTCCCATTTTAATGGGGCCCCCCTTTTTATTGGGGATTTGATCGCCTCCCAGTCTTTTTGTTGGGGAGTTTTTTTTCTGTGTGGATTTGGGAAATTCCCCAAGATTTTCAAAATTTTTTTATGTTTAAAAACCTTTCCCGGTTCCAACGAGTACAATCAAGTGCTTCCAAGTGTTCCCAGTAGTTAAGGTGCTTGACAGAACTTATACGTGCAGTAAAGGATCTCTGTACACTCTCTAGATCTGCGATTTCACCTGCTTTGAATGGAGATGTTAATGTACAGCAGTATTCCAGCCTAGAGAGAACAAGTGATTTGAAAAGGATCATCATTGGCTTGGCAATCTCTCGTTTTGAACGTTCTCGTTATCCATCCTATCATTTTCTTTGCACGTGCGATTGTGACACTGTTGTGATCCTTGAAAGTGAGATCCTCAGACATTACTACTCCCAGGTCCCTTACATTATTTTTCCGCTCTATTGTATGGCCGGAGTCAGTAGTATACTCTGTTCTATTATTATCTCCTCCAGTTTTCCATAACGGAGTAGTTGGAATTTGTCCTCATTGAACATCATATTGTTTACCGTTGCCCACTGGAAAACTTTGTTAATATCTTCTTGGAGGTTAACCGCGTCCTCAGCAGATGACAGCCTCATGCAGATCCTAGTATCATCCGCAAAGGATGATACGGTGCTGTGGTGTATATCTCTGTCTATGTCTGATATGAGGATAAGGAATAAGATGGGGGCGAGTACTGTGCCTTGTGGAACAGAGCTCTTCACTATGGCAGCCTCCATAGGTTTGTGAATAGAACTTCAAAGCGAGTTTTGCTTGTTATGGTCATTAGCTTTTCCATGCAAATCAAGGGTGATAGAGCAAATACTGTACACTTTCGTAGTCTATGAGGAATATCCCACGAAGCGACTGCGAATAAACAAAAACTCGTTGGTATGGTTCACGTCAGGCCACTGACACTACCGGAGCTGTGGATCCAGCCAGTAACCCAACTACACAATCAAAGCATCATGTTCTTAAAACCAACCTAAACACGCTGACCTGTGTGACAGCCATGAATGGATGCAGACATGGGAGCACATATGACACTTCATATAGTGTTGTTGGTATATAATATTTATCAACGATGGCAAAGTCATTATAATATCTTTCAGTTAGAAGCGTTATACTAAACCTTGTTTATATGGTGCTCTTAGTGAGCCACAACATAAACATTATTCATTCTTGTACTAATTGTTCATATTATTATGTCTAATATGTTTTAAGTAACGAATAACAACGATACTTCTCCTATTAACCTTAGTAACATTAGTATTACATCTGATTTCCATGCTGATTCTTCGCAAAATTTAGTACATAAAATGAGTGGTAAGTTAATGTTGCTTCAAATACCAAAACACCTTAATGCCAAAAGAAATATAATATGCAGACAATGATGCACAATACTGTGGCGGCGAGGGTGTAAACAGTAACAACTCTTGTATATACAGTGTAAATATGCATTCTCTATGACTGCTATCACACATGATGTCTGTACTGCACGTGGTAGAGGTCGGCAATCACAGTCATTAAGCAATATATATTTCAAATTAAAATTTAAGTTAATTCCGGAGCAACTCACACCCCCCTGTGTATTTCAGATGTTCAGTTTCCACTGATATGCGAATTGGTCATCTAACAGGTATTTATTACAGCGTCTTCGCTGGTCAGAGATATGAAATCAAGTCTCACGTTGGTAGCCAATCTCTGGGAGAGGACGTCTCAGTTAGTGCGACAGTACTGTCTTGGACTAGAAGTCTGATAACCCAGCTGTGAATATAAAGGAACACAGTTGCAAGTGGATAATTTTGATCGCATATCTGTATAGAAAATAGTTGGAGATTCAGGCCTTTTCTTGACATTAAGATAACTTATTGAAGCGAGAGTTATGGGAGAATGTGTAAGCTAAACCCGTGATATTAATATGCTGGGGTACGTAAGTACTAAGAGAGAAAGTTCACTGTGTTAATATGAAGAAATATTGTTAATGTAAAAGAAAAAGCCTTTGGGAGGGAATTTAAAAGACTAATGCTATGACGATCCTCGGGGCGTGCAGGCTGCAAGAAATAACCAGATTGATCACTCGGTCCCAGAGAAGCGTGGCGTCAAGTCGGGTTACTTGAGTATATTGTTTTTATAACTAGACTCAGGAGGACAGGCGTTCAAGCTACAGTATGGAATGTTTTTGCTATTAAGTACAGAATACGACTATTAGTTTTCCTTTTCTGATTTTTGAATCACAGAAAGACTAAATAATATGCACAAGTTTTCTCTTTTCAGTGAGATAAAAAAAAATATTTGGTCTTGCCAGGTGTGGTGTACTGGGCTAATCACCCCTTCCACCTGCATGGTCATGCCTTCCAGGTTCTGGCTATGGGTCGTCTGGGAGAGAACACTACACTGAGAAAGGTACGTTATATAAGTTTATACAATGTATTTTGTGCACATGTAAGGTTAAACTTTTTTCAGATCTCCGTTAAATACATATTCCTTAGCATTAGTTTCATTGCCTTTACTGGATGGTAATCTGGACAGAAACATTGACAATTACTGATATAAACCAAAGATGAGGCAGTGTAAGGGAGGGTAAACTTCTGATGCACAGACTAACACACTAACTACCCTTTTAGAATTATTCAGGATCTGAGTTGCAGATAAATTTCTCCAGGTCTAATTATGCAGTATCATAGTGAAACAAAATTCGTATAAATTTTTAAATAAACAATGGCTTGATGAGGGAACAGAATAATATAATTTATATTTCTATAAAGTTTGCAATTGATACAAGATTAACATAATTAGAATACTTTTTATAAAGCCCCTGGTTATGTAGAACACTTAGCACAATCTTAAAATTATCTTATAATTACTGAACAATTATTCGTTCAGATTAATTTGCTAGAATGTTATAGTTCAAATCTTCTGATATTGTATTCAACACTTTTTGGTTTATGATATATAACTGTGGGACTTTTTTTTTTTTAAATTGGTATAATAATTGCAATAATAAATACTGAAGTAGAACATATTTTTCTTATCACATATTTCGGAATATATTGATGATACTAAGAACAACATTATGGCTACATAAAGCTTTTTTTGCAATGTATTTTGCAGTGATATTCTTCTGAGAATAATGCATGGCTGGTGGTGGGGTGTCCAGATTAAATACATTTAAAAATTATTAAAATCAGGCTCTTTCCAATTTGGACAAAACACCAAAAATCGAGTTACCAAAATAATATGTCTCTGTAAGCGATAAGAAAAGGCTTAAACCTAGTGGAAGATGGCCGACTAAGAATGAAACTTAATTTTCCGAAGATAGATAATTTCTGTACAGTGGGATTCTAATGATTCATAAAATTCAGACGGAACCCCAGCTCAACTTTTACCAAAAGGAAAGATTCTAGCTGTGGCCGGTCATGGATAATGAGAATCAATGACAGAAAACAAGGGAGAAAGAGGGAGAGTGAAGAGTAACGCCTAGTTTATCTTCATTCAGTTTGCCTCTTCCTGCCTTGTTTTCTGTCATTGATTCTCATTTTCTACGAGCGGCCACTGCTAAACTCCTGTCAAAATAAAAAATAAGATTTTATTTGGATTTTTAACCCCCTGAGGGTTAGCCACCCAGGATAACTCAAGAAAAGTCAGTGCGTCATCGAGGGACTGTCTGTCTTATTTCCATTGGAGTCCTCAGTCTTGTTCCCCAGGATGCCACCCACACCAGTCGACTAACACCCAGGTACCTACTTGTTTGCTAGGTGAAAGGGGAGAGTAGGTGTAAGGAAATACGCACTGGGATCGAACCACGGACACAGTGTGAGGCCTCGGAGAGCGTTGCCTACCAGGCTACAAGACACCAGGAGGGCTATACATCATAGTTTCCTGTAATCTTTCTGGTATTGATTAAAATACCCTTGATTAGCGGGGTACAAGTGAACAGTAGCCTTGATTTCCCTGGTGTAGTAAGTCATATTCAGGCGCTGAGTACATAATGTACGAATATTTTTTTATAATGCTCTTGAGGGCATATAAATAAGTAAGTAAATTTAGGTACAGATACACGTAAGTGCAGTAATCATGCATAGTGTAAATTACTTAGGATAACCCTAAAAAAGTCAAAGTGACTTGGATGCTTTATGGTCAAAAAAGTACGTTATATAAATTTAATGTAGGATAATCTAATGAAGTCAAATAATGCGACTTCATCCACTGATGTCTCTATTAATTTGCAGTAACAGTATTTACAATACAGAGCAAAATCAGAAGAATCCAGAACGACTTTATGGGCACATAAGATTTTGTTCGATTAAGCCCATAGGGTTAGCCACCCTGCATAATCCAAGAAAGTCAGTGCGTCATAGACGACTGTCTCTCCTTATTTTCACTGTGGTCCTTTAATCGTGTCATCCAGGATGCTACCCACAGCAGTCGACTAACACCCAGACACTTGCTTACTGCTAGGGGAAGTGGGCAAGCATGTGTAAGGAAACATACCAAATGATCCCAACCAGGGATCGAGCCACGGACATTCAGCAAGTGACCTGAATGTGTTGCCAACCGAGACATGGGACACTGCTTCAACTCCGCATGAGTAAGTGGCTTCTGTGGTATTGCAACGTTCCTACTGCATCTCCACTTTCATCTTCATCGACGTCTTCAAAGCTAATTTTTTTTATCAAGGTTCATTATCCCTTTGCATATCTTGTATTCTCTTGGTATCCATGGATTTTTTTTTGACTTAATCAGACCTCAGAAATTTAAACACACCATTAACTGTGGCCATCGTTAGTTTACCCTCAGATTTATTGCTATTTAAGATGGTGGTCATTATCTTACATTGGCTTTGCTGAACTTGTGAATTGTTGGCTGGTTCTGACCCTGAGTGTCTCTTGATAAATTTGGAGACGGTTCTTAAATAATATGTCTTTGTTGTAGCTACTGTAACACTTTTATTCATTGGCTGATTTGAAAAAAAGTGTTTCTGGAAGAAATCAAACTCCAACATGGGCAAGTCATTCATTAAATTGGGATTCCATGACAATTACGCCTAGTGATTATTGCTGCTTTCCGTGCAGTATTTCTCAATATTTGGTAAAAAAGATAACAGTTAATCTAGTGACTTATCCATATCTACCACTCACTCTCTTTTTAGAGCACCGATGCATTAGAGCGTATAGGAAGATTTTTCGTAATTTTTTTCTTTTCCCTTGGTGTTTCAGAGTGCTACATAAACATAGGCTAAACCTTGAAATTTCCTGTAACATTCAATCAAAGAATAAGAATGAAATGGTTTTTGTATCTCCTAAACCCTCAACAGATAAGAAAGTTCTTGATGCCGTCCACATACAGTACGTTCCAACTGTATTAACAATGAACACTTGCTGACTCAACCTGTAAAACTTTACCCCCTTTGTAATGCCTCTTTAATCTTTACCACTTTTAATCTTCATACCTTCAAACAAATTCCTGCACAACCGAGCAGCTAAGAGGTGCGTTTTATTGGATTTAGTCCTCAAGCCAAACATTGAAAAGCCTTTCCGTGTCTTCCATTGAGTTACGTACCAAGAGTGCAGGTCTAGGGAGCAGTGACAGGATTCACACGCCTGGCACTTCCGTCAAGGTTTCATGTTAAGTATAAACAGTAATACGGGGTTGGACTAACAGTTTTATCAGTCACATCTAGTTTCTCTTCACCATAAATCGATCATATAACAGTCATATTATTATGTTTGGAAATTCAATGACTGGGGTATAACTTATTTAGAGCACTGAAGTAGGGGTAACAATAACACCTTGCAGTTTAACTTACAAACCAATGATGAAATAACCTAGTCTACTTAACTCATTACTCTGCTCTTTCAAATGTCTTGGTATCAGGAGCCCATCTGACATTTTGCCATTGTATGGATATATTTCCCAATGTGCTCGTTGATTTTACTTTTCAAGGTGAAGTCTCTTGAATTCACGTTAAACAAAATTTCGCTAAGCGTATAATGACTATATATACACAGCTACACGGTATTAATGATGACATGTACTCTTTTTTTTTTTGGCTACTAATACCTTTAGTTGTACACAAAATTATTGAATCTGCTGGATGTTTATTTCAGGTACAAGAGATGGATGCAGCTGGGCTGATTGAACGTAACTTTGATCGCCCTCCTATCAAGGACACTGTAACCGTTCCTGATGGTGGATACACTATCGTACGGTTCATTGCTTCCAACCCAGGTAAAGTGTTTAAATGTTGTACACTATACATGAAATGCTGTTGTATTTTATTGTGACTTCCAACCTAGTAAACTTAATCATTTAATTAACACACAATTTAGGCACTGTTATCGTCATTAATTCATACAATGCAGAGATTGCTTCAGATTCAAATGCGAACGATGATAAAACAAAGTAATAGAAGAAAATGAAAGAAAAATGAATGCCAAACTGGGTAGATGTAGAGACAGTCATATTACCCTCAAAGAATATACTAATAGGGTGTTCTCAAAAGAAAAAAAATGGACAATGATTAGCAGTGCTTGTTAAGAGTCTTTGATGAGGGTTAGTAAGTAATGACCAGCTATACTGCCTTCCACTTCCCAGATTATGTATTGATCCATTAGATTTTACACTCCACAAAGAACGTAGTAGTAATGCTCTACTGATGTTAGCAAGAACCATATACATTTATTCATGTGATAAAGCCAAACTGCAGAAATAGAAATCTCCATTTAGATGACATGTCAGCTGTACAACAGCCTTTTCAAGTAAACAAAATACATCTGGGAAAAGGACTAGTGTAACCCTTGCTATCTTGAGTAGTGTTGGTCATGTGATAGTTTCTAGTGATTTATACAGACAAGAGCGAGAAGTTAATGCGGTGGTAGTAAGTCAACTCTTGAAGGTTATGTTGAAAATGGTATAAAATACCGACAAGTTGATGAGTAAGACAAGAGTTGGGGATATTTATTATTGAAAAGTTTTTTCTACACGGTAGACTTCAGACTGGAGAGGAATTCAGCGCCATGGAGCTGAACTCTTCTCCAGGCTGAGGGACTGACCATCTGCAACCATTTCTACAAGGCTGATAGTCTGATTACATCTTTCAACCTATACTCTGTATTTGACTGAATAATCCTGCTTTGTAGGCGAAACGTTTAAAAAATAACGATACCCAGCTTAACGGTTGGTCTCCAAGATAGGCTTAGTTCTTCAACTGTTTTGTAATGATTTGGCCAAGCGGAAACTTTCCAGGTTTTACATGATAGTGTCAGAAGTTGTAATTAGAGCAGTTTCTAAGTATTTTCTTTTGAATTCGCCGCTTGCCCTAATACTTTGTCTTTGGACCATTTCATTAAATGGTTTTGAGAGTGTGTTGACCGCACTGTTCAAGTCTGTTCTAATGACATCCATATTTTTCTTTTTTCCTCCCCATTTTTCTTGTCCTGTCTCTTGTGTACAGTTTCTCTTGCCTCCGCTCTGGGATGATGGGGGTATCTCCATAAAAATTCCATTTCTCATTTGAATGGGATGGGCTATCCTGAGGATGGCAATTCCCAAGTGATAGTAACTCCAGCTATGCTGGAAGGAAATCTTTGAAGCTGCGGTAGCTGATGAACCTTTGGTGAAATACTTAACGATAGCCTCATCCCACTGAATCCTCTAAGCTCAGGCTGATAGGTTTCCACATCTTGTATAAGCACCATCCTGTGTGATGGAATATGACAGGGAAATATAGCTTTTGTTTCTACTATGTAGTTATCATATCAAATTTGGATACATTAGCACACTGCTAATGTATCCAAATTTTTTTAATAAAATTAAAAAAAAAGTGATGTAAATTGTTTAGAAAACCGACAATTTGAAGAATAAGACACTTTTGCAACATTTAGGAATCTTTATTGTGGAAACTTCGCCAACCAGCGGCTTCCTCAGTCCAATACAGAGAAGAACGATAAAAGATAAGAAGTTTGAGATAATTAGTCCTTTAGCCTGAAGTCGATGTGTTCAGTCGATCAGTTTTGAGAAAATTACAGTATATACACGGAGCAGTGACTTATATACTACAAACAGGTAAGTTGAAGCATCAGGAAACGGAGTTACCAGTGGAAAAATCCACTAGTGTAAGTAGGTCATGCCTATCGTTTAGTTAATGTGATTATAGAATCTGATCTGCGAGGAAAGTCACAGATCAGGTCTGTGGTGAAATATTTACGTCAGTTAGGTCCTCTGTGAAGGTGACAGTTGTAAAGGAATATTCCTAGGTGAGTGCTAAATCCGTATAGGTCACAGCAAATAAGAATTAAGAGGTAATCTGGCATCAAAACTTCCGCTTGACAGTTCCTGGTCGCCTTGGATGTATCGAAGTACAAGTACTTTTTTGCCTCTTAAGGGTGTTGAGTTACAGCTGCTGGTTCGATTAAGAGTTTTGAGCTACGATTCCGTGGCTTCTTGATGGTATTGTTTTACAGCTCAGGGGCTTCTAGAGGATATTGATCTACAGCTCAAAGTATGTAAGTCACAAAGCAGCCAAAATACATTTAATATTTTTTTATATTCACGCGAAAGTGCCAAACCCAAACAGGTTTTACCTCCTGGGGCACTGAATTTTGTTCGAACATTTCTTTCATCTTACTGTCCTCGGCCCCTTTTCAGTCTGGGAGGCTGCGACTTCTGCTTCGGTTGGCAATGCCTCTTCCATGGTCTCTCCGTCTCGTAAGTCAGACATAGTTTTCTGAAGATTTTTTTTTCATGGTCGTCTTGCCGCCAGACTTTTGTCATTCATCATTCATTCGTCTACGCCTTTGAGTCTCCTGTTTGCTTTCCAGTTTGAGGGCTTTGCATTTGCAAGGGCGAAGTTAATGATTGCATCATCATCGTAGTCTTATCTCTGGGCGAAGTTAATGATCTACATCATCAACGTAGCCTCATCGTTAGTGAGGGTCCATCTGGTGTTTCTTCCGGAGCCTCCCGTGCAGGAGAGGTGTACTAGCCTCCTCTAAGCTCCATGGCCTATCACCACTTGAGAGAACGCCTAACCTGGTCTCGCACTCGAGATATAAGGGGCGTGGATTCGTCCCTGGCTTAGGAGGCCTAAGTTTTCTGATTCTCATCCTGGAAGACATGTTTTACTCTATCCGGGAAAATATTCCTCTGTTTCTGCTCTGACACAATTAATTTAATCCCTGTACTATTTTCCCATTCAGAATTTCCTACACTTTTTACAATATTGAATATTTTCACAGCTTATGTCTGCAAACCAGACATAAGTTGTGAAAATATTCAATTTTCCGTGTTCAGCATATTGATACTGCATATATTACAGTGCGTCTACACCTGACCCATCCAGTTTATAACCCAGTCCAACAATTTTTATTATGAAAATTGGTATGGTGATACCGACAAGATATGGGAAAAGACACTGATGTACAGTTCAGGAAACGTTTCGCCACTTGTAGTTTCTTCAGAAATCACACGTGGCGAAACATTTCCTCTAATACATATCCTAAATTGTGCGTGTCTTTCCAAATTTTTAGTATGACAAGACAAGCGGCGAACACACCAGTGCTAACTTCCTTCTACGTTATAACTTTCTCCTATTTTCTTTATCCTCAGGTTACTGGCTGTTTCACTGCCACATCAGCTTTCACATTGAAGTTGGCATGGGACTTGTGTTCCACGTGGGGGACCAGACTATGCTTCCTCCAGTGCCCAAAAACTTTCCCCGTTGTGGCCACTGGACCCCGGACCCCGACCCAAATTTTAAGTCGAACCTCGTCAAGTACTACAAGACACTAAATGAGGGAAAAATTAGTGTCAACCTGGACCTCCTTCCCACTGATAATGACACACATCCAGGACCCAGTTACTCCACACCCACACATAAGACTCCTCACCATTCTTCAACGAACTCAGTACCTGGACAAACCAGTGACTCAAGTCGAAATAACTTAGTTGCTTCGTGTCTAATCATTTTGATGATTTATATGAATGTTTCTATGTAAACAAAAGCAAGAATTTCCGCTAAAAAAAGACAATTTTAATTCAAGGAAAAATCTGAATAACTCTGTCCACAGTATTTTTTTTTAATAAAGACGCTTTTGTATACTAGCATTAGACAACAGACTGAGGAGTCTTTTGTTGAACTACGAGATATTGTACTGAAATGTGCTGTAATACGTCAATTAAACGTCAAGTACTGTACTACGATGTATTTTGTGTGTACTTCAACTCATTTACTGAGTCATGCGCCAACTGCCTGGCTCATGAGCCATGCGTCAACCTACTCGGCGCCTTGCCATGCATCAACCTGCCTGAGCTATGCGTCACATGCTTAGCTCCTGAGCCATGCGTGACCTGCCTGGCTCATGAGCCATGTATGAACCTACCTGGCTCTTGAGCCATGCGTCATCTATCTAGCTCCTGAGCCATGCATCACCTGCATGAGTCATGCGTCACCTGCCTGGCTCCTGAGCCATGCGCCACATGCCTGGCTTCTGAGCCATGCATCAACTTATCTGGCTCCTGAGCCATACGTCACCTGCCTGGCTTCTGAGCCATGCCTCACCTGCCTGGCTCCTGAGCCATGTGGACTCTTCACCTGCATCATTACAGTGTCATGTGGACTCTTCACCTGCATCATTACAGTGTCATGTGGACTCTTCACCTGCATCATTACAGTGTCATGTGGACTCTTCACCTGCATCATTACAGTGTCATGTGGACTCTTCACCTGCATCATTACAGTGTCATGTGGACTCTTCACCTGCATCATTACAGTGTCATGTGGACTCTTCACCTGCATCATTACAGTGTCATGTGGACTCTTCACCTGCATCATTACAGTGTCATGTGGACTCTTCACCTGCATCATTACAGTGTCATGTGGACTCTTCACCTGCATCATTACAGTGTCATGTGGACTCTTCACCTGCATCATTACAGTGTCATGTGGACTCTTCACCTGCATCATTACAGTGTCATGTGGACTCTTCACCTGCATCATTACAGTGTCATGTGGACTCTTCACCTGCATCATTACAGTGTCATGTGGACTCTTCACCTGCATCATTACAGTGTCATGTGGACTCTTCACCTGCATCATTACAGTGTCATGTGGACTCTTCACCTGCATCATTACAGTGTCATGTGGACTCTTCACCTGCATCATTACAGTGTCATGTGGACTCTTCACCTGCATCATTACAGTGTCATGTGGACTCTTCACCTGCATCATTACAGTGTCATGTGGACTCTTCACCTGCATCATTACAGTGTCATGTGGACTCTTCACCTGCATCATTACAGTGTCATGTGGACTCTTCACCTGCATCATTACAGTGTCATGTGGACTCTTCACCTGCATCATTACAGTGTCATGTGGACTCTTCACCTGCATCATTACAGTGTCATGTGGACTCTTCACCTGCATCATTACAGTGTCATGTGGACTCTTCACCTGCATCATTACAGTGTCATGTGGACTCTTCACCTGCATCATTACAGTGTCATGTGGACTCTTCACCTGCATCATTACAGTGTCATGTGGACTCTTCACCTGCATCATTACAGTGTCATGTGGACTCTTCACCTGCATCATTACAGTGTCATGTGGACTCTTCACCTGCAACATTACAGTGTCATGTGGACTCTTGAGCAGCAACGGTGAAATGGTTCATGTTTTCTGTCTTGTTGAACAGTAAGGTTCGCTTACTTTTTTTTTTCAAATTATTTCCAAAATCTTTTACATCATTTATTACGGGACATATTTCCCCCTCGAATTTCTATTAGACATCAAGTTTTATTAATTACGATTTTAAGGTGCATGAAGATATTTTAACCTACGTTTGAAAAAGTTTTAACCTACGTTTGAAAAAGTTTTAACCTACGTTTGAAAAAGTTTTAACCTACGTTTGAAAAAGTTTTAACCTACGTTTGAAAAACGTTTTGATTAACGTTCGAAAAACGTTTTGATCTACCTTTGTAAAATATTTTTACTTACGTCTGTAAAATTTAGTTAAAATAATTCTTGCATTATAACAAAGTTCTTAGTTCCTTATTTTATACTGTAATTGTAAAGCCGCCTCTCCCAATTTAATTTTTATTTATTTTCATATAAATAGTATATATATTTTGGGTAAAGAACAACATATTTCAGTTTTTGTTATATCAGCTTCATGTATCTATTATGTTATACACAATATATATATATTATATATATATATATATATTATATATATATATATATATATATTATTATATATATATATATAATATATATATATATATACACACGAGTGGATGTCTATCAGTGTATATAGCGGAGAGTTGAACCTTTATGTTATAAATTAAAGTATTCTTGATTGGTGGTAAGCAGGTGATGTGCAGCCTTACTGACCCTCGTGTAGTAGATAGGCTTTAAACCCCATTAACCAGCCAATCAACCAACTTGTATTACTATATACAAAGATTATGCACAAGATGTGACTTGATTTTTGCAAGGTGTTGAATTGTTGTTTTTCATCTAAGATGAATAAGCATAATGCCTCACTAATGTGTAGTGAGTCACTGTGCCATACCATATCATGGCCTGGCGGCTAAAGGTCTCTCTCGCTTTAGGGTCCTGGTTCGATTCCCGGCGACGGTAGAAACAATGGGCGTGTTTCTTTACACCGGTTGTCTATGTTCACCCATCAGTAAAATAGGTACCTGAGTGTTAGTCGACTGGTGTGGGTCGCATCCTGGGACAAAACTGACCTAATTTGCCCGAAATGCTCAGCATAACAAGCGGCTTTCTATATAGTAGTATGTCATTGATGTCAGCTAGACCTGTATACCTTGTACATGTACTTGTAGAAATAAAGATATGTTATTATATCGGCTATTTACATGTAACTGTTTATCTCATATCAGTTACAAATATATGGCAAGACTTCCCTATAATATAACAGTTACGCAGCACTAAAGCCGAGACAAGGAAATGAACGGTGAAGGAGGTGACATTAAGTTAGCTGAAGTGAGTCGAAAAATGATATGTTTTGTTCTCCAAACATTTTATCGACTAAACGTATGAATATTTTGAGGTACTTTTCACTGAAAGTAATATAGTTGATTATTTAGATGATTATAGTGTGGATGTTCGTGCGGGTTGATGGCAAACTCAATAAATACTGGGACTTTTTTTTTTTAAGAGGATGGAGAGAAGACAGGACAGAGTGAAATGGTGAAAAACTCTGTGAAACACGAACGTCTTTCAATGTGCCATTGCGACTTACGTGGCGAAAGTTAATAACTAATTGGAAAATCTTAAAGCTTTTATGGCAGTCATATATTCCAAGGGAGAAAACAAGTGCTGGTATAACACACTTTTAATTTTTTGAGCAACTCTGTTAAAAGGTATACCATGAAAAGTGTGTCAGAAGGGATATCTTTAATATTTCAAAAATTGTGTGTGCTACATTTCAGCTTCTCGCTTACATAGAGAATTATATTAAATTCTTAAAATATATGTTGAATAAGTTTCTAAAGTTTACTTAAAATAATTAGGATTGTCATGCCATCTTTTGGTATCAGTTTAGTTTAATAATCGACAGCTCGTCTCGTAGCTCGATTGCTAGTGCACTCACCTTACACATTAAGGTCCATGGTTCGATTCCCAGTACGGGTGGAAACATTAGGACGTGTTTCCTTAAGACACCTGCTGTCCATGTTCATCCATCAGTAAAATAGGTACAGGGTATTAGTCGACTGGTGTGAGTCGCATCCTGGGACAAAAGTGACCTAAGTTGCCCGAAATACTCTACATAGTAGTATGTAATTGATGTCAACTAGGCCTGTATACCTTGTAGAAATAAAGATTATTATTATTAGGTGTTACCTACCTGTTTTTAGGAAATAATCCAGTGGATTCTTTAATAAATTCCGCCCTAGGTAAAGAATACCTAATTTGCTCCTACTTTTTCTATTTTTACTTTCACTGTATCCAGATACTTCGGTAAGGTTTGTGAGGAAACAGGACAGGTGTTTCCTGATGTGGGTCTTACGACAAATAAACACCTGTGGATCAGCAGCCATGATGTGTTTGTTGAGGCTGAAATGGTATGTTAGTGGCCAGCAATAAGTTAAGTTTATTACACAGTTATTGAGGTCATTGTTATTGTAACAATCACTGGCTGATGTAAATCTGCTGATATTTACCAGATATTACCTTATATTGGCTAAATGTCAGGGATAGTTACTAAATGGATTGATTCAATTACTGTGTACTGAATTCTTTATTGAGACATTATGTCGTAATACATGTATGTACTCTATGTGCAGTAAGATCATATTAAACAGGCGATATCACAATATGCAAAACAACCACTATGAAAAAATAGTGAACTTCCAATCGCTTTCGTGATATCTCACATTATGAAGGAACTGTAAAAATAATAGAACAGCTTAAGGCTTATAAGGCCGGTTGAAGTATCGGATGTTTACAGTTCCTTGATAATGTGAGAAATCACGAAAGCATTTGGGGGTTCACTATCTTTTCGCAGTGGTTGTTTTGCATGTACTATATGTATGTATAGGAACCTGGCTTGAGTCACCACTTCGTATGACTGCCCACCCACAACGAATACAACGATGATGACGGATGCTTCATATGTAAGTTTGCCTTCCGTGTACACTGGAATTATTTCATTCATTAATTTTGCAGTAGTCCACTGGGGTCACCTAGAGAACTCGACACTTGCAGCCCATTCTAAATCAGAACGACACTCTGAACTTCCTATCTAGAAAGTCAATGCTATTATTTTTTCTTGGATCTCGGGTTGGTGGAACATCAAAGCAAATCATGTGACCAGAAGCTTTGCATTGTCTCACTAGTGGGATCCGTATGAAGCTTCAGTGCTGATCGTATGCACCGCACAGGAGAGTCATAAGTTCCAGTTTTCATCTCCCTATTCTAGCTCCCTTTAATTTGGCGACGAATGCGATGTAACTGGAAAATAAAAATAATTTTTAAATTCTATCACTCTTCTCTCCTTTTCCAAAATTGAGGGAAGTGGCGGCATTTACAAGTTATGCATTCTCATTGCTCCAAGGAGAGTTCTTCAACCTGGGTTTTCGACATACGAGAAGGCAAAGAAAAATAGCATAAACGTCACAAACATCTGATACTTTGTACACTTGATGGTCCGGTTGAAGGATGAGAGGCTTCGATTTTGTTTCACCATAGAGCCTACACAGGATGGCAGCCTCAGTCAATAGAAAAGACATTTAATCTCCTTTAAAGACTCAGATTCAAGTGTGCTTTAAATCGGGAGGTGTAAAGTTAAAAGGATTTTTTTTAACGTTTATATAGATGGTATTGCAAAAGAAGTAAATGTAGTGTTGCCAAGAAGTTAAAAGATAATGAATCAGATATAAGATGATAGTAAACACAGAACAACAAAAAGGCACAATACCTTGACTGGAACAATGCATATATAACCCGCACATAAGAGAGACACCCTTGCGACGACGTTTTGGTCCAAGTCGGACCGAAACGTCGTCGTAGCTCTCTCCTATATGCGGGTTATTTGTGTAAACACAGTTCCTCTCTATTGATGTTCCATTTGCTTCTTGCTGATGTCACAGTTGCTCTTTGCTAATTA